AATTCGAACCTCTGCTGGTGCAACTGAAACCGGCCGAGCGGCAGTATCTCCACCATGGCTTGTTTCAGGAGGTGGGTCGTAATGGGTTTTGGTTGGGCAACATGGAACCAGTAGATCTGTGGGTATAAGCAGTCATGATTTGGGTGAGACGTCAGTTATCAGAAGCAGTTGGGCATGGAGGTAGATTTTTTTAATGGAATAGTGAGCTGTGAATTTGAAGTTAGGAGTCGGAAATAGAAGGAGAGGGACTCCGACGGCTCATCGCCGTCGGTGAGAAGAGAGTGCAGACCAAATTCAATTCAAAATTGAAATTCGAGGGTTTTAGGGTGAAATTGAAATGCACGGAATTTACTCATGAGAATTACTCTGTTAAAATACATGTATTTTATCCAAATTCAATTACATTTTATTTAGATAAAAACAAACAGTAAAATTGAATTTAATCACTCCAAATTCAAATACACACTGTCAAATTCAAGTTACCAAACAGAGCATAAAAGAGTTTCACTTTGGATTTTTGTTTTTTAGCCTTTCATTTTTGCCCCCTTTTTTTTTTCAATCTGAGAACCGTACAATGTTTTTGGCCTGCGCATGTATGGCAGCCTGGACTTCCATGTGTGGATTACTACTTGGTTAGGACTTACCATGAATGTACAAAGCCGATTCTACAGACATAAGATAACCACTTAAGTATGGTATAAAAATTATAGTCTTTCACTTTAATTTATTTATTTAGTTAATGATTTAAATAATTTAATATTAATTTATTTTACATAGGAAAAATTTTACATTTAACTCGCATGATTTATTAATAAAGTTAAAAAAAAAAAAAGGTCGTTGCCGCAATTCAATATAAAAAAATAATAATTTTCTTTTTAAATTTGAACAACATGGAACAAGAAAATTCTGCCATCCATATGTAGCTCCTTTAAAATGTCTAAATCACCCTGGTTCGACGCAGCAAAATGAATCGAAAGCCCTCAATTATAATGGATATTGGAGTAATTACATAAAAGTCGCAAGGACGACTTCATCTGCATGGGGGGTAATTGTTCTCTTCTCTCTCACGCCGCCGGGCTCCGTACGAGGATGTCTGTAGCGACATGTGCCAGACTGTAAAAATCGCCATCATCACCTGCGACTACGGTTAACAGTGCTGAATTGCCCCCCCCCCCACCCAAAAGACAAATTTATCCCCATCATTTTCCAGCTCAAAAGTAGCAGTTTTTACCGATTAGAGGGTAAAATTGTAATCAAATCAACCCAGAGGAATACTTCTGTAGTGATAATCCCTGCCCTTGTCTCCTTAGGTCGTCAGCCGCTATAAAGAGTGCTAGTGTACTAGAATTCGATTCAGAAAAGGGTATCATGCATCTCCTATGCTGTTGCTGTCTCCCTCCCTCAATGGCGGCTAGTCGCAGAGCTCTGAACAGGTTTTCTAGCTTTATGCTCCTTTTAATGGTGGTTTTCATGCCTATTGTCCACACTTCCCGCACCGGTTAAGACTCTCTTTTCCTTCTGTTTCCTTTTGTCCTCCCTTTGTCCTCCCTTGCAGGGGGTAAAAAACGAAAAAGTTAGTAACTTTGCAGTTATCTCTGGCATTCTCAGGATTCCCAGGAGGAAGAAGAGCAGTTGCAGAACAAAGGGTCACAGTCGCTCAGGTAATTAATCCCTCTTGAAAAAGCCAAGAGAAAAGAGGAAAAGAACACCTTTTTTTATTTTTTTACCTGCATTGAAGACTTAACATGGGAATCCTGTATGCATTTTTTGTGATTTCTCCAGCTTGTCAAATGGATATTTCTCTGTGTTTTCTGGCCATGGGTATCTCTCTCTGTTCAGTTCTTGAAATGTGATAAAGTTCGGTTTTTTTATAATGGGTTTTTGTTTTTATGAACAAATTTAGGAGCTTGAGAGGAACTTGTCGATGGAGGGATCTTTTGGAAATGGAGGAGCCAATTTCAGTGTGGAACAGAGGGAAGTTCCAACTGGACCAGACCCTCTTCACCATAACAACAACCCCACAGGACCTTGATGACGAGCTCTGTAAAAATGGTGCATGGCATATCTCACCCTACTTCCTCCCTAACCAGTTTTCTTATTTGTTCTTAGTTATTTAGCCATAGATTTTAGGTATGGTCCCAAGGCTTTGTCAATGTACAGAGGTAGCAGTTTAATGAAGGATTTTCAAGTATCTTACTATGAAAACTTATTATCTCCTTTTTTTTTTTTAATGTTCAAAAATATATTTTATCTTAGTTCCTGTTTATGGTTAAGGATCACTTTAATTTCATTAATTTTGCCTGAATGCTGAGGAGTCCTATAGGTGCTTCCGCTAATTTGTGACAGAACACAATGAAAATGCTTCAGTATGTGTTTTTAATTGCATGCTTAAAGGATCAGTGACTATATATATATATGTATGTAAATGCCGCCTGCAAATTAAGTTGATTCTGAGTTGCTTTTCTCTTCTGTTGGAAAAATGCCTTTTGTGCTTTTGACTTTTGAGTATGGCAGGCTTGATTCTAAGCTTTGAAAGTAGCTTTTGTGCTAATGTAAACATGAGATAATTTCTTTGCTTCATATTGAAGCATTGAGGGTAGCTTGTTATGTAAAAGTCAGAATAGCCTTTTTAATTAAAAATGTCATTTATTTTTAAATTTTTTCTTTTTCTTCTTGAATGATTCTATTTTTTTAAAGGTATGTTTAATTTTAAAAATATGGTCGGGAAGAGAATGATGAATTTTTTGATCATATCATATTATAATAAGAGAAAATTGTTTTATAAGATAAATTATATGTAGTTTACTTTTGTAAAATTATTTAAATACTTTTAATTTTATTTTTATATTATTTTTTTAAAAATACTAAAATAATTTTATAAAATAGACTGTATATAATATACTAACAAAATAATCTTATGTTATAATAATTTGGTTGACATTATAATTTCTTTTTATTTTAGATTTATAATAAAAGATTTTTTTTAATTTTTCAACTCATTTCAACGGTACTCAAATTTAAATTTTTTTACTAAAAAATTATTATTAAATTATTTAAATTGTTAAGTGAGATTATAATTAATTAAGCTAAAAAATATCCCTTCTCTTCCTTTTGCTCGTCAAATTGAACATACTTAATTTTAGAATATTTTCAATATTTCCAAAAAAAAAAAAAAACAAAAAAAATTAAAGAAAATACTTATTAACAACTAACAAGTTGCGCAGGTAAAGCTTTCAGGCGCAACCTCTTGGAAACCAAAAAACAAGTTGCGTAGGTGTACCAAAAAAAAAAAAAAAAGTTGCGTAGACCAGTCAGCAATGACGGGGAAACGAAAGGTTCCAGACGTGCCCACGTCGCACAGTAACAACCTTTTCGGGTCCGTTGCGTAAGCGTGTGGAGTCGGTCATTGTATCGAGCCATTTCCTGTTAATTTCGGAGACACCGCCAGAGAATTCAATTCCTACCGTGGGTCGGCCACAACCGCTTCACCTCCTTCCTTACTTCTATATAATCCAACCCCTCCCCTCGTCTCCTCATCGCTCAATTGATTCTAAGCCTTCTCTTTTGAATTGCAAATCTCTCAAATTCATTCTTCTCAATCTCCGATCCCTACTTCCCTTTTAAGATGCAGATCTTCGTGAAAACCCTAACCGGCAAGACCATCACGCTTGAGGTCGAGAGTTCCGATACGATCGACAACGTCAAGGCTAAGATTCAGGATAAGGAAGGGATCCCTCCTGATCAGCAGCGCCTAATCTTCGCTGGGAAACAGCTTGAGGATGGTCGGACGCTCGCTGATTACAATATTCAGAAGGAGTCTACCCTTCACCTTGTGCTCAGGCTCCGTGGAGGGATGCAGATCTTTGTCAAAACCCTTACCGGCAAGACTATCACCCTTGAGGTCGAGAGTTCCGATACAATCGACAACGTCAAGGCCAAGATTCAGGACAAGGAAGGAATTCCTCCAGATCAGCAGCGTTTGATCTTTGCCGGCAAGCAGCTCGAGGACGGCCGTACTCTCGCTGATTACAACATCCAGAAGGAATCCACCCTTCATCTCGTGCTGAGGCTTCGTGGTGGGATGCAGATCTTTGTTAAAACCCTAACCGGCAAGACCATCACACTTGAGGTCGAGAGTTCCGATACGATTGATAACGTCAAGGCTAAGATCCAGGATAAGGAAGGAATTCCTCCAGATCAGCAGCGATTGATCTTTGCCGGCAAGCAGCTAGAGGATGGACGCACACTCGCCGATTACAATATCCAGAAGGAATCAACCCTTCATCTTGTTCTCAGGCTCCGCGGAGGGATGCAGATTTTTGTCAAGACCTTAACAGGAAAAACAATCACTTTGGAGGTGGAGAGCTCAGATACCATTGATAACGTCAAGGCAAAAATCCAGGACAAGGAAGGGATCCCTCCTGATCAGCAGAGATTGATTTTTGCCGGGAAGCAACTCGAGGACGGCAGGACCCTAGCAGATTACAACATCCAGAAGGAATCCACCCTCCACCTTGTGCTGAGGCTCCGTGGAGGGATGCAAATTTTTGTCAAGACTTTGACTGGGAAGACAATTACCCTCGAGGTGGAGAGCTCTGATACCATTGACAATGTAAAGGCAAAGATTCAGGACAAAGAGGGCATTCCCCCAGATCAACAGAGGCTTATCTTTGCAGGGAAGCAGCTGGAGGATGGGCGTACTCTTGCGGATTACAACATCCAGAAGGAGTCTACCCTTCACCTTGTCCTTCGTCTCCGTGGGGGTGATTTCTAATAAATTTTCAGACTTGGCTGCCTAAATCTGTTTGTGTTTCATTTGTTTCTGGATCAAAAAGAATGTTGCTTTGGTTTTTACTTTTCCTTATGCTACTGAGTCTATTTCTAATGATCTATGTACCCAAGTTAATATTTAAATAAAAGTTTGCTGAAATAATTTCTAGTCATAATGCTCTTGCTTTATATTGCTCCTTGAAAGAATGTGTGATTGCTTGTTTCATTTCAGATATTGATGATAAAAGTGAATCAAATGGCTGATTACAGGTTGTTAATTATAGCATCATATTCTAACACATTTGTTTGTAAGTGCTTGCATTTGCTTACCTTTTCTTGGGGTGTGGATTATGTATGGTATCTATGCCAGCTATTTGGACTGGATTGATAAAGCAAAAAATTTGGCATCTTTTCTACATTTGTCATTGGAAATTCGATGAACCAAGTGATCATAGCTGATGAATACATGACTGTTGAATTCTCCAGATTTTAGAAGATCGTTGTTACATTCCTTCTCTTTGTTCTAAAGCTTGCAGGATTTGGCTGAAAAGTGTCTCCATTGCTTGTATAGATTTTGCTGTTGATGTCTACCAGATATATTTGAATGGATCAATTAAGCAAGAGTCTGCATTTTTGTTTATTAAGCTTGTTCCTTTTATTATAATATGAAGAGGATAAGAGCTCCCTCCAAAACTTCCATGGCTACCTCTTCTCAAGGTAATTTCTTTAATCCCACCTGGTTGATGGTTCTGTTTAGTTTCTTCCATATAATACTTGATATTTCTCATCCTCTTCTGCAGAATTCTTAGTTTAATTTGTCTATCATTTATTTTGCATTCTGGGCAGATTCAACCTATCTAGCACATTCAATTACATAATGATTTTACCATGAGGAGTTATTTGTTCTGTGCTCTTCTGTTCTGTTGTTCTTGAGTGATCCTGTCCTGATAACAAAGTCATCTTGTTGAGGTCCAAATTATATCAAATATGAGATTTTTCATCCTGGGATTGCTTCTGTTTCTTGTCCCTATCTTGCATATTAGATAAGCAACTGATCGATATACCTTAACTGCTCTTTTGATGAGCTACTGAGTCATCTCATTCATGTGTCAAAACCATGTTTATCTACAATTTCATTGATGTCAAAATCCCAGCTGCAGGCTGCAATCAGAAATGAAACCAGGGAAAGAGAAGCACCATCTTCTGTTCCCACTGAAGCAAGGTTGTAAAAAGCGGGCCTGGCCCCAAGTGGTGCCACTCTGCCTGCATCGGCCTTTGGACAGGCCTTTAGACAGAAATCTAATGCGACTAGCACCACCTAGACCAATGAGGTACACCAAGTACTATTAAGCATATTTAATGGCACTTAAAGCACGCTTAATGACACTGAAAGTCTTTGAGCAAAATTTTTATTATAAAAATTATATTAAAAAAATTAAAATTAAATGTCAAGTAATTCTTTTAAATTTTACTTTTTAGACATGATAATGAATTAAAAAATGTTTAATTTTTCTATTTATTTTGTAATTTTTAAAATTATTTTACATTTTTTTTTTATTTTTGAAAATTATATAAAAAACTATTAGAAAAAAAACCAAGTAGTCAACTAAATACTCCCTATGTAGTTCAAGTTCTAAGTTGTAGGTAGGGATGGCAACGAGTTTTTACAGAAGTGGGGACCCTCCCCATCTCCATCCTAGCCAATGACAAGTATAGAGATTCTCATGAGATTTTTGGTGAAAGATTAAAAATAACATCCGTCTTTATACCTGTAGAGAATGATAAGTCTTCACAGGTATTCAGAGTCCCTGCTAAATATTAATCATACCTTGACAACTTAAGAAAATCTAGTGAAGAACATTAGGAAAGAATCAATAAATTATCACCTGCTCATTTATTAGAATTAAACTCAACATAGGTTTGCTCAAACTCCACTACTTCATAAGTAAGTGGTTGTTTATGGCCTTAATCATATTTTTTATTCTCACTACTTTCTAATACAAGAGGAGGCATAGTAAATGATGAAGTTGGTGTGGCAACAATAACACCAGGACTCAGTATAATACTTGCACTTGATTCATTTGGAATTTGAATCAAATAAAAAATTACTAATTAATGAGTCAATTGCTTGTGAATTGATTGATTATTTCTTAAACAAATATTGATTGAATTGTGTATATTACACTATTATTCTGCTTTATTTATGAAAATTTGATCAAATCTCTTTAGCATGCAAATATTTGTTTGGTGAGGTAAGGAGGACCTGGAGTTGGAGCCTTAGAGCTGGAGGTGAGTGGAGGCAACTCAAGCAAGCAGCCATTATTGTCGAGAGCTTGAGGAGAATCTAAGATGAGGAACAAAGTTATAGAGCCAAAAGAGGAACCTGGAAATTTTGACAGCCGGCTACTAGGATTACTAAAAATAAGTTGTGCAAATTGGGCTAGGTAATTGGGTTTGGGAAGACTGGAAAAACAATGGGATGTGGAATTGAGGTT